TTTTTTTTTTTTTTTTTGTGAGACTCAATGCCACTTCCTGCTAATCTAGCACTTGAAATTCAACTATTGAATTCTTTGCATTTATTAACTAGTTTAATAAATAGTTTGTTGTGTTGTACCTAGTTTATTAACTAGTTTATTATAGTTTCGCTCTTTAATCCTTACTCCTCTTTAGATAGTTGTGTTTAACATATTCTAATGTTGTATTGATTCNTAGGTTTTGTTGTAACACATTTTAATATTGTATTGATTCAAAAATTTATAATGAAATTATCAATTTTTATGTAATTCCAAAATTAGTTCACAAAGTGTCATTTTCAATTTTGGCGGTCAATTATCATATATAACTAAAAAAAGGTCTACCACAACGCTGAAAAAACACTGCAAAAGGGTCTATCGCAACCTTTAAAAAGTGCCGCAAAAAGGTTTTTCGCAACGTTTAAAAAATGATGCAAAAAGATTTTTCGCAACGTTTAAAAAAGGCTGCAAAAAGGTCTACGCAACGCTGAAAAAACGCTGCAAAAGGGTCTACCGCAAAAAGGTTTTTTGCAACGTTTAAAAAACGCTACAAAAAGTCTTCACTCAACGACAACGTCGACCTTCGCAATACACGCTAAAACGCTGCAAAAGGTCTACCACAGCGCTTTTTGGCCGCTGCAAAATGTCTTTTTTGGTGTAGTGATTTTTGTTTCAATGAGGGCTTGAATCTCCCCCTTTGTCAAATACGCATTTTTTATTTTCGAGCATTAAATCAAAATTTTTTTTGCCCTCGGTGAATTTATAAACAATTTTAGTTAAATCATTAACTTTTTCTTTTAGAGAAATGTTTTCTTTAACTAATATTTCATGATTAAGATTTTCTTTTGATTTTTTCAAAACTTTCTTTAATTCATCTTTTAATAGAAATTTTTTCTTTTTGAGAATAGAATGACTTATGGCGAGTTTGTCAAAATCTTCAAGCAGTTCATCATAAGAATTAAGTAATTCATCATAAGAGAATTTTTCTTTTATACTTACCTCATCTTCAATGGTCATGAAGCACATGTTGACGATTTCATCATGATCATCACTTTCATTTTGATCTTCATCGTTACTATCATCCCAAGTAACTTGAAATGCCTTTTTCTTGAAACTTTTCCTTTTGTTGGGGCACTCGGTTCTTTTGTGAGTGGGTTTGTCACATTAGTAGCAAATAATTTTCTTGCTATTTTCTTCTCATTTGTCATCTTTTCTTTGGAACTTCTTGTTGTTTCAAAAACCTCTCATTTTTTGATGAGGAGTACTAGATCATCAAGTTCTTCATCACTCATGTTGTTTGTTGATATTTCTTCGTCAATCACCGATTTTAGAGCAATTTGTCGTTGGGAGCTTCTTTTGATTCTTCTTTGCTCTTCCTTGTCTTTTCTTTGATCTCGGCATTGTTGAGCTCATATGTCATCAAGGTTCCATATAATTCTTGTAAAGGAGATGAGTTTACATCCTTTGTATTTTCTATAAGCATCCGTATGGGACTCCATTCCTCCGAAAGTGACCTAAGCATTTTGCTCACAAGTTCACCGTTAGTATAGTTTCGATCAAAACCTTTTAAGCCAT